AGATGGGAAAGATTTATGTTGTTGTTTCTAGCTAGGTCAGGTTTTATTTTAGCCAGGTAGATATGTGTTTTACTTTATTGAAATGAGAAATATACTTTCAAGGGGGAGGATGGAAGAGAAAGGGTTAAAGTACCAGGAAGAAGAATTTCAGGGGTGAAAATTTCCTTAATTAGGACCAAGATGTCTGACAGATCTGCAAACCTTCTTCTTACACAGTTTTCTAGTTTCCTTCCTTATCTCTAGTTTTGCCTTTGTCCCAGAAAACTCTTTACAATCTGGACATTTTCATGCACTGTTTTTGCTGACAGATGTTTGTGGAGGGAAGATACTGATGATATTATGGTTAAATAAAGATGTTTACAGACATTAGAGCAAGAATCCAGGTTAGCCTCTCTGTTAAATTCATACCAGGAAAAATGCCTTATACTTTGAAACTACAGAATATTTTGCATAACGAGGAGAAGATTCAGTTGCCAGGGTTGTAATGTCAGCATCCAGGGGATGAAGATTCTTGTCCTGGCTCTTTTTCATATCTTATTAAAACCAAAAGAAATTATTTGACTGCACTGTGGCATTTTTTAACGTGGTGCTATTTTGCATAGGTGATATTGCTGAATTATAAGCCTCTCCATGTTAATCTGGTTTATTGGTTGTTGCTGTCCACGTGAGCCTGTTGCCTTTTCCGTTGCGAAGCTGCTTCAAGAGCCCCCTGTGTGGAGGGGGAAGAGTGGGGGCATTTTTCGGGCCGATGGAAATTGTAAGCTGCAGCTTACAGAGCCGATGAGAGGACCCTGGGACTGACATATGTCTGGGGGCTCTAAAAGCTTAGATCACCCTGCTATGTAACATGCTTAGAGATTTCTAGCATTAAGGCTCTCAAAAATGCAAAGCAATGCTATAAATATGCAAAAGCATTTTCATTTGCTTTCCTTTTAGGTTTTTGACCAGTCACCGTAGAGGAGATACATAAAAGGACCATATACTTAGCTGCTGTTGAAATATTGTTTCATTTTCCTCCTCATCTATTTGTGCAAGTTTGTATTTTAATCAGGTGGTATTATATCTGAAGGCAGGACTGGACCTATGTATTCTAGGACTCGTAAACAGATTAATTCATGTCTGTGCTGAATAAAAGTCATTACAGTTTAACTGCAGTCTAAAGACTATTTTAAGTACGATGCTATCCAGGAGAACTCAAAATAGAACGTAAGCTAAAAGCTTGGTATGGCAATGATATCTGTACCTTGCTCTCAAAAATGTGCAGCTTTTTCTTTTGTCACTCATTCAAGGACACAAAAAACAAGGTTATGTGGCTTTCAAACAGAATGTCTGTCTGTTTTATTTTCCTCCTTTTCCTACTTGCCACTAGCAGAAATCTTTCTTCAAAGCCAAGACTGTTATCTAACCAGTCCTAAGTGAGATGTTCTCTCTGGTATATTAACAGCCTGCAATATGGCATTTTAACGGGCTTTGGTCATGTGAAGCCAGCACCTTAAAGCTTTATGCTTAAGTTCCCAGATAGGCAACGGAAGAGGAGGATCTTGTTGGTCAAGTCATAGCTCAGGTGATCAGAAGGTCTGCCACTTATACTAGCTGCTGTTCTGCAGCCACTATAGAAAACAGGGAAACAGAAAATATAACAAAGAAATAAACAAAAAAGAGAGAAAAAAAGAACAGAACAAAGGAAAAAGAGAGGAGATAGGAGGAGAGGGAAGGGAGGGAAGGGAAGAGAAGAGGAAAAGTAATCTAGCCTAAAAAAAAAGAAACCTTGGAAAAATGGTCCTTAAGGCTTCGGACACTATTAACTATTGTGAAAAACAGTTACTTCCACTTTTGAAGAGTACTTTTTAATGTCCGTTAATCAACCAAAAGAAAAAAGTCTGTAAACTCTTCAAGATTACTTGATGTCACCTTTCTGACCTGGCTGAATAGAACACCATATTCCAGAAGGATGAACTTCCTACATGAACAGATATACTTCCTTCAATTTAAATACATTCAGTCTTCAGATATGTTGAACGTGAGACTCTAGGGCAGTAGTAACTTAAGAGGTGTTTCCTGTCATTTCATCTCGCCTGCAGTACTTGGATGTCCCCTGCGTTCTCTAGTATATCTGCCAGCCCCATATGGGTGTCTTGAACACTGTGCAGTAGTTAAAATGGCCCTGAGTGCTTGAGTTTAATAACTGAATCTCCTCCTTAGTCTCCCCACTGCAGTTTACAAAGCTCTGCACTGTGTTTTCTCAGTTATGCTGGAAGTGTGAGCACTGCACCTGAGGCTTGCCAGAACTCTTAGAGAAAGAGCTTCCTTCCAAAAAAACTTGAGTCAATTTTGTCACTTTTATCATTTTTCAAACAAAACTGCTTGAAGTATAACAAAATGGCAACTTCTCAGATTGTAAATTTCATTTGGTCTTCAACTGAGTGAGCGACTGCAGAGGAGCAGTTACGTGTCATACCCTGAGCTGGGGGGGACACTGAAGGCGGTAGTTTGGAGTAGCCCTCCTCAGTCCTGTGCTCTTGCAGAGATCCCTGCTGATCTCCGTAAAGTAAGTGGGCAAGCTGCCAGGAGCCGTGCACCCTGGCCCTTCAGAGCCCGCACTGAACGCTCCTCAGTGCTTTATTTTTAGCACCTTGCATTTTACGAGAAAAGTAGCCTAGAGGTTATCAAATTCTTCCCTGAGTCCAAAAAAGTATGTGTGAGAAAATGCCACTGGTAATGTTTACCCAGAATGTAAAATGCACTATCGGAGTAAGTCTTGTATTTTCCTTGGATTTTGGCCAAAGCAGAGCAGTCAACAAAAGAAAAGTGTATCGGGTCAGAAGAAAAGAAGGCTTTGAAAAGAAATTAGAGGCCCTTTTGTTTTCCTTTTCCAAATACTTGTGTGAGAGAATCTTTTTAGATTCTGGGAGCTACTGGAAACTACCAGACTTTCACCTCACAAAACACATATTGCTCTGTATGTTTTAAATTCTTGGTGTCAAGGATTTCAAGAAGAGCTCTATGGCTAATGTGTATGTACTAACTTGCTTTTTAGGTGAGTTTGGAGCTGTATTGAGCAATAGCTCATTTAGGGATGTGGCAATGCAGAAGAAAAAGATCTGCTTTTTATGATGCTCCCTGCATAAGAGAAAAATAAGAATTCCTTCATTTTCACTGCATTGTAAACTTATGTGAATTGGGTGGGTTATTCTAGTGGTCTAGATAAGGAGATTGAAGCCAAGATTGAGAAGCAAATTATGTGTAGTGGTTGCATATCTGCACAGAGGGTAACAAAAGAAACGGCCTCTGCATGTTGCACCCATCAAGAAGCTAATTTTACCTAAAGGAATCACTGAAAGATTTCCACTGATTTAAGGGAGGAAGCTCAATGGTTAGCTCAATGAACCCATACTGCATGTTTGGACCCAGGAATCCCTGTTCCTAGATAAAATTCTCAAGCACATAGGTTTCATTATCTCCAGGAGAAAGCCGTATCCTGGCCAGTCTAGTACTGTGGATTTTGGCTGTATTTTAGAGTGCTGGTGCAGTGGGCAAAGGCACCATGCAAAAACATGGTGATCTGTCAGAACCTTCATGAATTTCAGCCTCATTGTCTGATAGGTACAGTCTTGCATGTTCTTCTTCCAAGATATTCTCAAGTGTCATGCGAGTACCATATCGTAAAGCAGCTTCTGCATAACAGCATACAGAATGAGTTTTGGTGCACAGTCTGTACTTTGCTTCCAGCTGTGGACAACTAATTCCCCAAGACCACCATTGCAAAGCAGTATTTGCCCTCCTGGCAGTACTGGATAGCTGTGCTTAGCTGTACACAGCTGTGCTATGCAAGCGGAATGATTTTCCTCTCAAAAACACTTTATTCAAGTTTGGGAATAATTATTTTTAAATGCACTTGTAGGAAAAACAAATATTTTTTATTAATTATGTAAAAATTTTAACTGCAAAACCAGTGTAAAATTGTATTGATTCTTTTTTGACACCTTCAACTTGAGAGTTTTGTTTGCCAAGCTTCTGTACCAGTCCCAGTACTGCATTAAGTTTAGATCTTCTTGACAGTTTGCTCAGGTGAGTGATCTCATTGAGGGTTGTGTGTGTATATACTTTAGGGTACAGTAGTCCTACAGTGCTGGTAACCTCCTTTGGAGACTTTGGCTGATTTGTGCCTTCCCAGTTTTGGAAGATTTCCTTGCAGGTGTGGCTTACTATTTTTACTGACCCAGCATGCATGAACTCACCTTTTTAAGTTCAAGGGAGGTAACTGCAAGTAGAAGAAGGGGCAGGCTCTACAAGTGTGTTTGTTTATTTAAGTATAAAAGGAATATGGAAAGGAGAAGTGGATGCAATGCAGTGGGGGAAAAATATATGTATGTATATATAGGTCAATATGTGATTTCAACTACTACTACTATGAGCAGTAGTAATGCTCATAGTGCTAAAAAAAAAAAAGAAGAAGAAGAAGAAGAAGGATTAAAAAGAAGCTACAGCTCCAGAGATCATCCCTGAATTTTAGTTCGCATGGCTATCTCAGAGGGCAGCAGCAAAACAGCATTTAATAACATCTCAGAGATGAAGGGCTTGGTCTTGAAAAGGACGGAGCTGCTTCGCCACATCAGAGTTAGTTGAGGTGTGTTTAGAACGGAAAATTATATTGTCAATAGCCTAATCACAAGGGCAAAACTTAGATGCAGAGTCACAGATGAAAATGTTTTGACTGCAAGTGAGGCACAGGTAACGGGGAAAAGTTAGCTTCCCAGTGTGAAATCTTGATTATTTTATTTCATTACAGTGCTGATTTTTTGACAGTTCACATGTGTGTCAGGTCATGGTCCGCTCCCAAACTAGCGAGATAGGCATCTCTAACCCTAATCTCCTGGTGGCCATCACACCCAGGGTGCTCAGCACCACCAAGACCCTCCTTCCTGAGAACGTGTTTCAGAGCAGCACCGCACTGCAAAAACAAACCTAACCTTGCTTTTTTGTCCCCTTCCATTTACCAGTAGAGATGAGGAAAGTGCTTCCAGCTCGCGTGATGGCGAGGACTTGCTCCTCACTGCTCAGCTCCAGCAGACGCTGGCTGACCTGGATGAAGACCTGGAAGGTAGGGGAGAGGGTCGCCTCCAAAGTATGGTGGAGCTGAGGGGAGGCAGGAGGTGCCAAGGCAAAACACTGCTCTGAGAGGTCCACATGTTTCTCACCAAGGTGCTGGGGAGCAGCACGTGTTGTGGGGGCAGGAGGTGATGCGGCCCAAGGGACAGGCCACCCTGCACACGCCTGGCATGAGTGTTTTAGGGGCTGCTGTATCAGGCAGTCACTGCATTTCAATATTTTCTCCCAGAAGGAAATGCAAAACAATTTATGGGCAGTTGACTTTGGTGAAGCTGAACCAATACTGAACTTCGTGCTTTGTGAATAGTGCTTCTGCTTTGTACTTTGTCAAAATGAAGTGGAGAAGAGGGGATTTTTGTAACTCATGCTTCCCCTGCATTAGCAGTCTTGTACTCTAAAGTACTTTAAAGCTAAAAATAGAAAATACTGACCAGAAGCAGTGGAAAGAGATAAAATAATATCACAGGTTTTTTCTCTTTTGCCTACTACTAGTAACAATACTTCACTATTAACTTTTTGTCACCAACTGGTAGTGAATACTTTTTTAAAAAGTATTTAATTCTTTTACAGTGACCTTGATTATGTTTTAATTTCTCTGAGTACTCCCAACACTGAAATTCCTTTAACTTCTCTGTTGTAACCCTCTATTTATGCCAGCAAATTTGAGAAACGAGTTAAGCTTCTTGCACAAGGAAGCTTCTAGGGTCGCTGGTAATGAAGGGTGAGAAGAACAGTTAAAAATATGTTAAAAATATGAGCGCTGCTTCTTTGTTTGCTTGCTCAAGGAAATCCTTCAACTGGGCTGTTATTACTAACCAGGTCTGGGAAACATAATTTGGAGTTGCTTGCTGTTTCTCAGAAATGTTTCTCCTTCAGTGTCATGTGGTGAAATGTTTATCACTGGGAGAAGTTAGTCAAAGATAAGGTATGAACAGTAGATTAAATTCTGCTTTCAGCTGCATTTGTATTTTTCTCACTGACTGAAGAGGGAGGACTGCAGGAATATTTGCCTGATCCTGATCAGTAACCAGACAGCAAAAGGAAAAAGATTCTCTCTTTATTTTTTTTTTTATAATACGGACATGCGCATATATGTATATATATATGTATGTTTGTGTGTGTGTATACATATATATACACACGATATATATACATATATATGTGTGTGTGTATACATGTACACACACATACGTATATGTATACATACAATATTTTTTTTCCTATTGATTTTACTGGAACTCAGATACTCAAATTGGATTAGTTTATGTTAGCTGTTCGTGTAATTTAATGTGATATTGCGTAAGTATTACCTGCATGTACTTTTTTGTGTTTATTTGCAGCTGTGGAGAACATAAGCAACTCTGACTCTGAGAATATTACTGAGGCATTGAGCCCCCATGCCAGGAAAGTTGAGGCTGCCCAAGAGGTTACTGTTTCTGTTCCAGTAACAATCATAGATGATGATGCAGAAGTTAACGTCCCTAGGTCCACTGGAAATCAAGAGACGAGGGGTTCAGAAAATATTTCAGCTGACTCAGTTAATGCAGGGAACTTTACAAATAAAAATATCAATGCAGGTTCCTTTGATAAGGGACATACAAGTGGTGGATCTGTATGTGTATCCAAGGACTTAATATATCAGCAACCTTCTGAAAATGAGTTTGATGTCTTGCCTGTGGAACAGAGGAGAGATATGTTTGAATCGCTCACCTCTTCCTTCGAAAAAAGAAGTGAAAAGAACGTACGACTGGAACCCCCTGCTAAACCTACTATGAAGTCTGAGGAATATAAATCTAAGCTGATTCCATCTTACTCCAAGGCCCCAACTGAAATAAATTCAGCAAATGAGCAAAGAAATCCATTTAAGGAATGTAGTAAAAGGGAAAGACCTCTGAAAAAAAGTAAATCAGAATTAGAAATCAAACAGTTACCAGCAAAAAGAAATGAAGAGAAGGTAGAAGAAATCCCTTCAACACCCACATGGTGTCATCGTGTCCAGCATGCAGGAACAAGTTATGAACCGAAAATGGGTTTGACAACCTTTAAAGTTGTTCCTCCAAAACCTGAAGTAAAGCATTTTGATAGAGGAGTCTCCCTCTCCACTGGTGCCATTAAAATTGATGAACTAGGCAATCTCATAACCCCAAATGCTGGTGGCAATAAGAACACATCAGATACTACTACTCTCACTACTGGTGAAAGCGAGGAAATTCCCCTTGGGAAAGTGAAGGCATTCTGGAGATCAAGTTCTATGGAAAAGCAAAGTGATGACTCTGCTGAGCATCTTCTTAAAAAGTCAGCAGTCACCACAAACCCTAAAACATCCTTTACTTTAAAACATGAACACAAACCTGTCTGTCTTGTAGCTCCAAAACCTGCAGCACCACAAACTGTTACTTCCCAGGTAGTTGAAAGACAGTTTGAAAATGAAAAGACCAAACCACCTCTTCCAGTCGCACAGTCTCAAGTAAAACCACTGGTGGCCCCAGCCATTAGTAAGGACAAGGTGGAGCTTCCATTTCTAAAGCCGCATAGGAGGACTTCAAGTCAATATGTTGCCTCTGCCATTGCAAAACACATCAATCTACCTACCTTTAAGTCTGACTCCACAGAATATCATGAGAAAGAAGAAAATAAGCCTGGGGCAGGTGAGGTTAAAACTGAAGGAGAACTTTTCCCAAAGAGATGTATTATTGTGGCCAAATACAGCCCTGTGGAAACAGATTCAGCAGAAACAAGAGAACCACCTTCAAATGTTTTTACTTCCAGTCTGAAGGTATCGCACAGGTTCACAGCTGGTGATAATTCTGGAGCAGAGAACAAAATAGTTAACATCAGGGCACCAAATCAAGCAACTCCTAGTTTCTATAAAAAGAATGGCAGTGTCCCACTTAGTAAATCCTCTTCAAAGGATAACAACGCTGCAGATGATGATTACAGTTTAAGCAGCAAACAAAGTATAGCAGAGAAAAAAATGCATCTTTTGTTTGACCAGAAATGTGAGACTTGGAACCATCCGAATTCAGCTCCATCCCTGAAGTCACCTGATCTCCAGGTTGTCCCACCCTTTTCCACCTCGTCTTTGCGGGCCAGTAAATGGCCTCCCACCAGCAGCCTACAAGCCAGTTGTTTCAAAGCATCGCCCGAGTTAAATGGTGCGGCCGCCAGCAACCACGTGGAGTCAGAACGTGAGGACAAGCACGGCGGTTTGGTTGCTGGTGCAGTCATAGAGCTGGATGTTAACGTTCAGACCAACATCTTTGGACCAAAGAAGAAGTTCAAACCAGTTGTGCAGAAACCCATCCCAAAAGATACGTCGCTGCACAGTGCCCTGATGGAAGCCATCCAGACAGGAGGGGGAAAGGAGAAACTCAGAAAGGTAACGTGGAGGCTTCGTTGAGCCTATGCAGCTGCAGAAGCCTGGGTTTGCACCGTCAGACACCAGCTGTCTTATAAATGCTGGTGAGCTGGAGGGCACATGGCATTTGAAAAAAAAAAGGTGGTTCCTGTATTTTACGAAATGCTGATTCTTCTGCACTAGCCAGGAGATCTAGAGGGTGCAGAGATACAACTTAACAGAGAAGTAATTGAGATTAGCCCAAGAGCCTAGCCTGCATTTCTCTGTGTTATGTAAAAAGAAGAACACACTGCATGGAGAAAACTTGTACATATCTGTAAAGGAAAGAAAATTACATTTTGTGTTAATTTGGTGGTATTCATTTGCTGCTAAAGCTCAGGAGATATGAGATGTCATCTGTACACACAACATTACTCACTGGAATCTACATATATCCTTACCAGTTAGGGTTCATAGAATTACAGAATCTTTATGGTTGGAAAGGACCTTTAAGATCACCAAGTCCAATTGCAAACACGTCACCATCATGCCTGCTAAATGCAGGCCTGAAAGAAAACAAACTGATTATCTCCATAGCTTGTTTTTTTGGTGCATGTACTAAAATGCTTTCAGTAGGATTTGTCTGTAAGTAAGTATCTAACAAGGTTATTGTTTTTACATTGTAGATTTCAGACACTATGTCAAACGGAAGTCAGAAGAAACCCTCATATGCTGAACCAGAGAACGAACGCACAGCCCTTCTGGCAGCAATCAGAGGCCACAGTGGCACCTCGAAGCTGAAAAAGGTAAGAAACACATGATGAGCGATCTTCTAAGTGCAGTCTATTCCTACTGAAGGTTTTAGATATATCTGGAAATTATGCAAAATGAAGTTGTCCTGCAGAGAGAAAAGCTTAGAAGCAAATACTATGATAAAAGGGCAGATCTGGCTTGCACAGATAAGATAGTGGATCAGGTTACGTCCTCTGCTACAGAAGTTACTCTCACTGAAGTTTTATGCCCAATGCTGAGAGAGGATCATGTGTAAATCCAAGTGAGTTAAAGAGAATGAACATGGAAGGCACTAGCTGATCATCAGTTTCATGTATTTACGTGTTGTTTTTTGCACTTCAAAAGTATGCAGTTATTTGTATTGCCTACTGTATAGGCAATCCCAGTCTGACTGACTGACTATCCCAGTCACCTAAAAACACATTATGACTTCTTCACATGTGCTTCATGAGTTAGGTACATGTGAAGTGTTTGCAAGTACAGTTCTGCATCAGTACAGGGTGGGGACTGACGTTCTGGAGAGCAGCTCTGCAAAGAGAGGGACCTGGGTGTCATGGTGGATGACAAGTTGACCATGAGGCGGCAGTGTGCCCTCCTGGCCAAGAAGGCCAATGGGATCCTGGGGTGCATTAAGAAGAGCATCTCCAGCAGTCAAGGGAGGTGATCCTGCCCCTCTACTCAGCCCTGGTGAGGCCGCATCTGGAGTATTGTGTCCACTTCTGGGCTCCACAGTACAAGAGGGATGTGGAGCTACTGGAGAGAGTCCAGCGCAGGGCCACAAGGATGATCAGGGGCCTGGAACATCTGCCCTACGAGGAGAGGCTGAGGAAGCTGGGCCTATTGAGCCTGGAGAAGAGAAGGCTGAGAGGGGATCTGATCAGTGTCTATAAGTCCCTCAAGGTAGGGAGTGAAGAGGATGGCGCTGGTCTCTTTTCAGTGGTGGCCACCAATAGAACTAGAGGAAACATCTGGAAACTGAAGCACCAAAAGTTCCACAGGAACTTAAGGAAAAATTTCTTAACAGTGAGAGTGGCAGAGCACTGGAAGAGGTTGCCAAGAGAGGTTGTGGAGTCTCCTTCTCTGGAGATCTTCAAAACCCGCTTGGATGCAGACCTGTGCCACGTGCTTTAGGTGACCCTGCGTGTGCAGGGGGTTGGACTAGATGACCTCTAGAGGTCCCTTCCAACCTTAAGCATTCTATGATTCTAATCATAGAGTCATAGAATCCTTAAGGTTGGACGAGACCTCCAGGGTTCATCTAGTCCAACCCCTGCACACACAGGGTCACCCAGAGCACGTGGCACAGGGCTGCGTCCAGGCGGCCCTTGGAGATCTCCAATGGATACTGATGGAAAATCACAGAATGGTTCTCAAATCTCTTTTCCACGGCAGCAGGATGGTTTCTTCTGTCTGGAGGTCTGACCTAACCATTAAAGCATCTCCTATTTCCAGTTGCCAAAGCCTGCATTGTTCTAGCCTCAGTTTTCTCTCAGTTCACTAATCAAACCAAGGATGTGTTTTTGGCAAGGAGTCCCCCATTTTCCTCATGCAGTGTCTCAGGCCATTAACACACCCAGATAGCCGGCATGAGATTGAATTGTCCCTTTTCTGTGTAAGGGCATAACTCCTTTCCTCTGAGCCGTTCCGAGTGTCTTGCAACCTGTGCTGCAGGTGGGAAACAGCTTTCTGTGAGCCTGAAAGTGGAATATACTGCCAGGGGCAGTAAAGGATCAGCAACCCCTTGATCAAGGATGTGTCACAGCCATCTCCACACATACTTAATTGCATTTTGCATTCGTTTGGCACAAATGTAAGTCTGTGTGAAAAAAAGCTTTGAGAATGAAGTGGTGTTATTTTATCACAGAGACTTTTTGGAATACTTTTCTCTGGCAGAAAAGCTTTTAGCATCATTTTAAAGGAAGTTGCTTGGATACCGTACTTCCCCCCCCCCCCCAACATGTCACCAGTGTTCGTTAAAGCACCATGGTTATGTGTGTTCAGGGCTGCGTACAGATGTGCTGTGTTGGAAGGGCCGCCCCTTCAGTGTCACCTCAGATGTTCATGTCTTATCTGACGTGACTTCATTCCTGCATATTTGTATATGCAGTGAGGGAACAGAATGTAGGAGCTTTTTCAATTTGGATTACTTGATAGGAAAATTAATCCTTTTTCGTTTTTTCCCTAGAGAGAGATTGTGCCTTATTTTCTCTGTTAAAGGTGTGATAGCGTATTTACTGGTAAACCTCCCATTTGCCACAGGATATAAATAATTTTAATTCACAGAATCATAGAATGCTTAAGGTTGGAAGGGACCTCTAGAGATCATCTAGTCCAACCCCTCTGCTCAAGCAGGGTCACCTAGAGCACGTGGCACAGGGCGGCATCCAGGCGGGTTTGGAAGATCTCCACAGAAGGAGACTCCACAGCCTCTCCGGGGAGCCTGGTCCAGTGCTCTGTCACTCTCACAAGGGTAGTTACTACAGCTTGATCATGATTACTACTAGCAACATTATTTACAACAAAAATATTTGTCAAGGCAGTTGAAGGAAAATCTGGCTTAGTCTGAATGATTGCCTGCTCCCCCTGAATGCATTTAAACAAAAATAAATTTCTGCATAAGTTTCATGCAGGATTTTTTGGGTTCAGGAATTCCACAGAAGCTCTCTTGTAAGAGCAGCCAATAGTTTTCTTTGCTACATGCTTTCTCTGGTCATATTTTTTTTTCTTAGTAATGCTGTAAATTATAGATTTAATAACCTTTTTTTCCTTTTTTTTTATTATTATTTTTTTTTCAGTGAAGCCAGGTCCCAAAAGCATAGCTCTAGAAGAGCCTCACTCCCATCTGAAATTATTTCTGCAGCCCAGACTGCTGAAAGTAACAAGATTTCTGGGTGGCTACTGCAGCTTTAATATATCTTCCTGATTCCAAAAATCTTTGTGGTTGTTTCCAAATGAATACCAAGTCCAGCTCCCCGTCTGTTACCTTACATGCCAAGAAGAGTTACAGGATGCTGGAGCTCACAGTAAATAGAGATTAAATTTCTGAGACAGAGTCAATGCCAAATCCTTGATGCTGGTAATCAGCCTAGCTGAATGATGTGAGTGAGTAGTAACAGATGTTCAACCCTATGAGCAAACGAAAGTTCTACATGCTTTATATCATTTAAGCAAAGTGACATTGGGGTACTGAAATTAAACGCATCAAATAATTACAATTTAGCCATGCTTTGGTATTAATCACTGCCTCTCAACTGCATCATGAACAGGTCTCCTCAGCGGCCTCTGAAGAGCTACAGAGTTTTAGGAACGCAGAACTGTCCTTGCAAAAAGCAGAAGACCTTCAGGAAGAGCAACTTTGTATCCCACCACTTCCCATACAGCCGCCACCACCACCACCTCCTGCTCCACCATCAGCAGCAGCAGCTCCAAAATCCTCTACCCCTGCTGCAGCTGACCCTGCTGAGGCAAGGCAAGCCCTAATGGAGGCCATTCGCTCCGGTGCTGGAGCAGCAAAGTTAAAAAAGGTAAATGTACTTTTATATTTTTAGCCTTTTGGAAGAAATAACTTGAGCTTGCTGCTCTGAGAGCTGTTTGTAGGCATAGCCACACGTTTCTTTTCTTTCTGTCACCAAAAGAAGGTCTGAGTATTGTGTTTTCTTCAGCTGAGTCAAAGATCAAGAGCAAATTTCAAGTCTTTTGACAGCTCTTAAAACACATCTTTGAAAAAGTATTTCACCTCTTTAGAGAGTCAAAACATGCCTGTGCATATATGCATCCATATGAATATGCCACTACCTACCTAACAGAACATTAAGAGTATGAATATCATTTCAGAAAACTTGTGTGTGGGTGTGTGTGCGCCCTTTGCCATTTTCAGCAACCTGAGATAATAATGTATGTCATTTAGACAAGGAGAGGTCAGATATGAGACCAAAGGTTCTCCTAGCCATTTATTTTTCCTGCTTCCACAAACCTGAAACAAATACAGACATAATTGTCTCCTAATTTCAGTAGTGTTTTGAAAACCTTGATTCCTGACACACAAGCTTAGGTGGCAGATGTTGAGAGCTGTCAGTAAAGCTGTGAGATCCTTTTAATGTCTCATTGAACTTTATCAATTGGATGATTTGTGTTTCTCTTTCGTGGTCAACTATGGATAAGCCAGTTCCTAGATGACTAAATGCTGTTCTTGCTCAGATGTTTGTGTTGATTTTTTTGGAGAAATTTCATTTATCTTTTTGATTGAGATCTTATTTTTCCTAACCCCACATTACACCAAATTTCTGAGTAAAGAGAAGCAATCATTGTGCCTCAGTGGCGTTGTCCTAATGTTACACTGCAGTATCTAAGAGTGGACTTTGATCCAGAGACTTCATGGAGTGTACAAGAACAGATGGAGTTTTCCCAATACGTGATTTAGCTGATGCCGACCATAAGTGTACAAATAGACTTTAACCTTGCTTGCTTGTCCTCTTTAAAACAATTTAAACTATATTACCTATTTCAAAATTATAAAAAAAGGCTAAACAAATCTTGTTTCTGGTAAACCAGAAATTCCAGAGTATCATTAGCAATTGCACAGACAAATCAGTTTTTCAGATAGATTTCCATCATCAGCATAGAACAGACATCAGGATGTTCAATTGTTGTGGTGCGAAAAAATGTGTCTGTATTATGCATATCAGTAGAAGACTACAACTTATGAAGAAATAACACTCCAAGCAAGGTTTTCTTTCTCAATATCACCATTTTACAGGGAAAAAAAAAAAAAGAAAAGTGGATTTGTACATACAAGAATACCACATGCAGTTCTTTGTTTTCTAGATCTTTTCAAATTCCAAATAGTGTGAACTTTGCTCTTCCAACTGCATGACTGTTGCAGAAGTCTTTGGGGGAGCCATAGCTGTTCTCATTAAAACAAGTCTTTATCACATCCTCGGGGATTCATTTTGAAACAGTTAGATAGTCATTGTAGACTACAAAAGTGAGCTTGATATACTCATGTATTCTGCTAAATACTGCGCCTGTCTTCTTTCATTTTCAAAACAGAGTAATTTTCAGTACATCTGACATTGAAATGACAAAAGAGTGCATCCTTTCTTGCATATATTTTATAAAAATGAGAGGCATTTTTTCTAAAGACAGAGCAAGTTTTTTTGTGTGTGATTGTGCTGTCCTTCATTATATTGGATATGTAAGCTAAGTTTGTATATATGCCAAAGGCATCATGTCATTCTGACATCTGAGATCCCATGCCCTTAATCATTGATAAAAGTAAAAATGTCAGATTTCCCACAGTTTCTATCTAGTATGTATTAATATTTCTCCTAGATTACTGTGTTAAATAAGAGCCAATTTCTGATCTTTTCTGCAGTTGGACACCTTATGGCAGCGAAAGTTGACTTTCAGAGAATACATGATATCTGCATATCGGGGTTTTCTTCTTTTACAGCTGCAGAACATGACTGCAACGAGTACTGACTTTTTGGTAGGCAGTGGCTGGTGTGTGGTTTTGTGCCAGGACCAAAGCAATTTTATTTTATTTTATTTTATTTTTTTTTCATCCTCTGTCTAAAATCTGTGATGATGTGGAGGTATAAGTCCAGAGCCTTTTTTTTTTTTTTTTTTTTGACTAGGCTGCCTGTTTGATTTTAGTTGCAATGAGTAGATGGCAGACTAGATAGTTAAATCTTTTTATGGCATGTTTTTCTTCTCCATTGTCTTCTGGAAGTTTTCTGGAACGAGGGCTTCTGATGGTGAAGTATTTTGTCAGCTAATACTGTGGAGAACTGAGAAAGATCTGCATTGCTTAGTTACGTATGACTCAATTTGTGCTTATTTATGAGGGGTTATTTGCAATGGAAGTAGATCAAACGGGACTGTCGGAGGAACCAAACATGAAAAGCAACCAATTGCCCAGATAAGGAGCATCCCAACAAACATTTGAGCTCTATTAATATCTGTGAAAAGGCAACTCCTCCACTCCACCCCTGATTACACAGCTGTTTGCTAAAGTCATGAACTTTAAGGTTAAAAGATCCACTGTGCAGGAAGGGAGGAGAGAAGTAGCTGCCGGCTGACCCAGCCTTAGTGAGAGTCTGGGTCTGCCCCAGAAAGGCTGTAGTTGGGTCACCCAAAACAAACCAGAGCAGAAATACACGTTTGAGGAAAAGGCCAAGTATAGGTAAGACAGTATGTGCATAGCACTCCTGGATTTTCTTTAATCCATTTCTTGGACTGCTGTGCTTGTTTTGGCAAATAAATCACACTTGGTTTGGAAGAAACGGCTTCTGTTTTATTGCACGCTCTTGCTGTCCACAGACTCCCACAGGAAAATTCTTGTTGGTGCCAATCCCAGCTGAGCCTGCTCAGTAACCTGGTCCATCCACTGCGTAATGCAGTTCAGAGACCTGCCACCAAACCTGGTGCTGGGTTAGGGATCCTACCCTAAGGGAATGGAGGCAGGACCGTTTCTGCAGTGGTGGCCTTTCTGAGCTAGGGAAGCTGCATATCTTGCAATATGCAGGAAATAGCCCTTTTTTATTCTCAGAATGGTCTGATGAGGAACCTTGCACGTGTTTAACACATCCAAAGTATGAGAGTAAGTCTGAGAGACATCACCAAGTGAGGTCGCCAGGATGTGTTGCTCTAATGGCCTCGGTGGTTAAATGGCCTCAGAAATGAGCGCATCTTGCTCACAAGGCATCTCCTTCCCAGCTGCATCATCTTTATGGAGGGAAATCACGTGATCTAGGAAACAAAGAGCTGATCCAAGACCAACTTTTGGGTTGGTTGTAGTGAGCAAAAATCAAGTCAGAGTTGTGTCATTTGAGCTTCTCATGTTAAAAATGATCTAATGTTTTGTTTAAATTGTATCAAGCAACTTTTTTCACATACTCATACACTCTTTTTTTTTAGTTTTTAAACTTTTTGTTTCTGTCTTTGAAAATGCAAACAGATCCAGCTAGATTTCTGAAATTCTGTGTACATCACTGCATGTGTATTTTTGTGTCTGTGTAACTTGCCTTGGGATTTACCATCATTATGTGTGGGGGGAAAAAAAAAACATAACTAACTACACATGCAAATAACCCATTAGATGTCTAGCTGTAGGTATAGTTGCAGCACAAGCCCATGCAGGACTGAAAATCTTACCAACAAAGAGAGGTTGCCTTTGCTTATTATGCCATCTACCCATCTTAGGTAGAGTTGTATCCAGGGATTTGGTAGAGATACTGCAAGGGAATGTGCCAGCACAAGGTGGGAAAAGCAGTTTCCTTATCTAAAAAACAGACTTTTGCTCATGGAAAAATAATTTTTGTTGACTACTCTTTAATGGTACATGCAGAAGATACTCTACAGATTTCACATGTTTTCCAGTTAAGATTAGAGCTGGACCCATCTAAGGAGCCTTGTTATGTTTACCTGCTATGGCTTTTAAAATTAATTTGGCTCCATCACAGAATCCACAAACATTCATTCCAGTATTCAGCATTTAGTCATATGAACTCTTGATATATGCAATGTATCATTCTGTTGGCAGCTAACAAAGCCAGGTAAGATAATTGCTGCGCCCATTGCAGTGAATCCCTGGTATATGCTGGGATCATTCAAAGTTGATCTCTAACAAGTGATGCATCGATCTGAGTTGAGGCATGTTCAATGTTTCCCAGGGATCATGGCCAAGTTCTGTACCTTTATGTCAAGCAGTGGACCACTCTTCTCATGTAATCAGGGATGTAAAATTGTGAATGAAGAAATACTATTTCTTATCATTAATGTTTGTAGGTGCAATGACAGAACTTAAAGACCCAGGCCACAGCTGGTGTAGGTACTGGTATGCTAGAAATAAGGGAGGGAGGCCTTGCTAAAAGGTTGTTCAAGCTCGATATACAGGTAGTCAAATAAGCCCAGAAAGGGATTTTGGTTCCCAAGCAGTGAAGGGCAGTCATTTGCATGCTGTTACTCCATTTGAATTGAAAGATAACATTTAATTTGAACTCTTCACCTTGCTATTTATTTTGTACAGTGACCTATTTTTTCTCTAAGAGTAAAGCTTCTGCCATGGATACCAAGGTCAACATTCAAAAGTTTAAGCTTGTTCAAATACATTGATCCTGTTTAGCTTTTGTGGTGCTCATGCTCTGTGGAACTCTGTGATAAAATCAAAGTACAGTGGGAGGAGCACCCTAGCATACGTGTTCAGTTAAGCATGTGCTTTGATGAAGTGAAGGCTAGGAAGGAGCATTAAGCTTCAATATTTTGGTTTTATTTTGTTAAATTTGTTTTTTTCATTCAATCACAAAACAAAGTACTCATGAATTGATTCATATGACCAGTGACAGACATATAAACCAATATATTGACCATTATTGAACAGATTTTGACTGTCAGGTCTTTCATGCTCACAGCCAGGGTTTGTGTTCATTCCACAAAATGAAGGAATTTCACAGAAAAATACATAACCTACGTTCTGGGTAATAATGTTACTGCAGACAAAATGACCTTAGGATGCATGAGGGGTGGGATTGTTAGGAAAGGAGATACCTTTCACTTGGAACCATACTTGGAGAGAAAAAAAAAAAAAGCTTTAAGTGTCAAAGAACTGAAGAGACTAAGCTTGCAGACAGCCCTGCAGGAGAATGCTTGGTTAACAATGTCAGCAGTTGAAGGTCTATAAATATCTTGAATGATCATGTGCTTTTCTTTGTTATAGGTCCCTCTGCTCGTTTGAATTGTGTATAAAGAACAGGTGATTGGAAAATCTAACCCCATATGCACCCATAATCATCATGCAAGGTCTGAAGTGGCAAAAACACATCAAGAAGTTTAGTTTATTCTCTTGTCTACAAGCCAAAGTAAGTTGTAGTTAATTTTCAGTGTTCCTGCATAATGGTTCTAAGGGAAAAATATGTTGCTCTGATGTTAAGCTTCTGTGCCAAGGAATTGTGTTTTGCCTCTGAATATTTAAGGTTGCCAATAAACTATTCTTGTTGGCAGGTTAATAAGAGTGTAACCACTATGCAGTCTTCTGTTAATACTTAATTGTGTTTATGGGCAAAATTAAAAGACTTTTGCTAGCTATCTGAAAGGTAATATTCATTTCAAGTTGTTAAATTACGTAACTGTTTCAGACTATTTACTTCTTATTTGATTTGGAAAAGAACTATAAGCAATAAGAGGGAGAAAAAAGGCCGAATAAAGATCTATAGAATTCAATGACAAGAGAAAAGTTATGGTATATTCTGAAAGACCTAAATTGCCATATGTTGGGGTCATTATTTTTCCTGGTGGTTTTTAGATGGACTTTATGTATCTGCAGCTCTGAGAAAGCAAGCAATCAATAGTGAATGTGAGAGAGCATGTCACTGAAGTTACTTATGGGGTATAATGTATAGAGTACGATATACTGACCTGAGCAGCAGTCACAGCGCTTGAAAAGTGTCGAGGCACGTTAAGGGATCTCCCTTTGCAGCTGTGAAGGTTGTAAGTAGAGGGCTGTGTGGTGGTCCGAGATCTCAAGCTCCCTCCTGCACTGCGAAGGGAAATGGAGGTGGTTTACATCTGCCACTGGGACTTTGTCACCCGCTCAGGTCACACACAAGCGGGCCCTTTGTTTCCAGTTCTCATAGCTGCTGCGTGTTGTCTCACAAGGATTTATAGCAGCTTCTTTTACAAATGGTTAACTACTTTGGTAGTTGTGGTTGTACATATGTTGAAAATATTTTGTTAAATTGAAACGATTATCTTAAAAAGGATGGATCAAAACACTTTTTCACATTTGCTATATCACAGTGAAACCGAAGAAGGGGAAGTTTGTACATTTACATTTTTATAATTGCAGACCAGAGCGGAGGTTGGTTCTTTTTTTGGAGCTGAAATGTAAAAACATACAGCTATGTAATGTTGAAAGCAAGAGTATATTTAGCCATCTGCATTTAATATGTCTGTAATATTATATATTGTAAAATATTGATGTCTGTTAGTGCCACAAATAAAAACAAAAATCAAAAACTGTTATGTGGTTCACGAGACTCTTTTTGCTGATTTTTTCCCATTTGCAGAAAGAAATTGGAACTAGTGATGGACATGAGCAAAGTAGGGTGCTGTGTGTAATATCTCAGGTCTAATATAAAGCATCTCAGGCCAGGAAAGGGCTCATCACTGATGCTCGAGGAATGCAGTAGGAATGGAAAAATTAAATCAAGATACCGGAACACATTACCATATCATGCACACTTTTATATTAATGCATCATTGCTGAAAGTCCATCCCTTCATCAGAGAATCTGATATATTCTGAATTAAGATTCTGTTTCATACCTTGGGATGGATAAGATCACCTTTGTTGGCTGACAAGCCCTTTTTAGTCCTAAAATCTTCTCAATATGCTTTGCTTGGGAAGTACTAACATTTTAAAAGTGCCATCAGAGGAAAGGATTCACTCATAACCTTGAACACTATACAGATGGTCCCAGCAGCAGTGATTACAGCTTCCTGTAAAACAGAATCCACTGCAGTGCTCCTTGCTGCTTTTCTTAGTGCTGTCTGAAGGCTCTGGTCCTGCTTCCTTACTGATGCCCTTTCAATACAATGAATTGCGTATGCACTTTTCAATGCAAGAGAACCAAAACTGGATTTTGAGATAATAAAATAATCTAATCCAGCCCTGGAGATTCACAGGTTCTCTGCCCGGGTGCTGGCACTATACAGAACTGAAGCTTATGGAAGAGTTATTCCTGGATACACTTCTCATTATCAAATTCCCATGGCTAAAGGGCTATGAGATTAAGAACTGCAAGCTGAGATGTCACCTTCACTGTGCAGCAAAAAAAAAAAAAAATCCTGCTGGCTCAGAGATGGAAGCTAGAAAAGGAGGAGGAGGGAATTCAGCTGGCTGCAATAGGAAGCTGGACTTGGTGTGCAACTCGTGTTGACGAGACGTGTGCTGTCATATTGTCACCCCTTGAGAAGCCAGGAGTCTTGAATTCCCACTAGCAGTCTAATTTAGCCCTAAATGAATGAACATTTTCATTTTTTTATGAAAATAAAATAGACCCATTTTTAATGATGTCTGGTTAGAGGTGTAAGCCTCCTCTGCCACAGCTTCTTTCTCTGTGAAAATGCATGGTAGTTTTCATTTAGAAAATTGCTTTAGTTGATATCAAGCAAGCACTTTCCACACTCCTCACACAGTTCTCTGTGCTTTTACTGTGCTTCACATCATGGCACTCACAAACTTGCTTCCTGTTGGATAAACTGAATTTGGGAAATGTGCTCTGACTGGCAAACTGGTATTCAGTCTGTGGAACCAGACTGGAGCTTGTTCAAAGGGGAGATGGGGACTAAATGTACCTGGAAAAGATGTCATGTCCTCAAGTATTTTGATACTTTTGATTTCCACCAGTCCACGCTGGTTGCTGATGTAGAGGCAGCCTGTGTGTAAAGGCATATATTCCACCTAGATTAGTCATCGATGCATCCTATCATGGTACTTGCAGATGGAGAACCTACAAGTTGGTTTCTTCTTTGAAGGACTTTTTGAAAAAAGGGCAGTGAGCTCCTCCTTTTATGTGTGAGCCTCTTGGCCTAGGTTTTCTCCATATCCTCTCACCTCAATTCAACAAGAGGAAGGAATGTGATATGCTCCTAACATATCAAGTTCTTCAAAGCACTGTGTATCTAGGGAAGAGGTATTCAAATGTGGTGAAAAAATGCTGTCACGTAGGAAATTGAATGGAGAATTTACATTACAAGGTATGGTCATACCTTGTACAGATATAAATCTGTAATCAGGGCTTGGAAAATCTAGTCCAATGTCTTAAATAAAATGTGTAGGTCTCTCCCCACCCTTTTTTTACCTATTTTTTACTAACATTTTTCATTGAGTTTGTAGTAACACTGAATCGTAAAACCAGCATTAAATCGCTCTGATTAGATATTTGATTTTAAATAACATTGGTTACATGCATGAATTATTTGACTTACAGGACTATAGCTTCATTATAAACTTTTTTTTCCTTGTGCAGATAGATTGCTAATATTGCTTGTATTGGAAAGTATTGGACCAAAAAACCTTTTGACATGTACATGAATCTGTAGATGGAGGATTCCTGCCGTCTGAGGCAGAATTCACCTCCTCAGCTCATACAAGTGATTTGCACAGTTTATGCTACATTAAAAAGTGTCAAAAATTGGTACTTTGTCACTCCCTAGGAAAAAGGAAGGGAATGAAAGATGTGCTATGAAACAGTGGAAAATGCCACCAACAGAAAGTTTGTGTCATTTTTCCTCCAGTCCCTCCAGAAAAGAAAGAAACATCTCTGTTGTTATAGCACGGTTTAACATTAAGCATGTGTTTTAATCTGAGTGAAAACTCTGAAGAGATTTTTTTTGAGTGAAAGTTTATCAGAATTAATTGTTCGTAGTTCGAATCTTTGCTGGTGCGATATGAAATATAAAAGTCATCTACAACAGTACCTTAGTGACTTTTGCTTATATACAGTATGTATTTGTATGTGTTCTTTGCTCATCCCTATCCATCCTTTGGGTTACATATGCTTTGTATGCCCCAACAAGCTTTTTGTCTGAGACTTTATTAAAATTTAGAGATTAGTTTTATTCTTACTCTGTTTTTTCATGCCATTTTTTTTTGCTGTTGAGCATGCACTCTAAATTATATTACACTACATGTTCCAGCTGTAGCTGCCATAATGGTTGTATTTCCCCACTTTCAGAAAACGATGCATGCAGTGTCAGAGTTCCTCTTCTAAAGACAAAATAAAAAAAGAAATTCCTATTTTTTTCAGTAATGCCCACCTGGAATTGGTACAACATTGTTCCAATGTTTGTTTCTTTTTTGCTGAGTAGGATGTGGAGTTTGATTTATTGCTGGTGTCTTTGTTTGGCTGGGAAAACTTTCCGTGTACTTGAATTCCCCCACGTTCATCAAAGTGCACTGAGTTGGATGAATCTTTCTAAGAGCAAGAAGGTATTTTTTTGTTACTGTTAACTAAATGTTATTAAGTGTTCGGTAAGCATATAATTTGTTTAAGGACTGACAAATTGGTAGTCACCAAGTACAAAAATCTCACTGCTGTGTTTGTTTAGCAGTTTGGAGAATTTTCTACATGTTATTTTTTTGTCATTAAAGAGTCCTTATGAAGAGAAACAATTTAGAGGTATTTAATATGAAAACTGTGCCTTTTTCACACTTACAGAGTTTAATAACAAGTTCACTTCCACTGTCCATTCCTTTCCATCACTTACTGGCACTCCGTACTGTGCACATGCACACACATGTGCATGCACGTACATAGACACACAGTCTCCTTCAGTTAAATGTCTACAAATGTCTGGTGATGAAATATTGAGTGTGTTTATTCTCAGAAGAAATAATTCCAGTAAATTTGCAAGTAGTTAAAACCAGAATCTTTACATTTTACCAAATCCTTTTCCATTTTTTGCCATAGTTTTTGCAACCTAAGTGATACATTTTGACATGCTTAAAACAGCTATAGACAATAACTGCTTGAATTAATGTCCAATCCAGATCCAAATAATGCTGTCTTCAGCCAATTTTTGGGGGGGAGGGGGGAGAGAAGGTGCTTTTTTGTTTTATTTTGTCCATAGACCTTTTAAACCGTTCATCTTCCATGTCTCTGCCATGTCTCTTCTCTGAGGTATTTCAATTTTGTGCTTGAAGTCCTAAGAGGTTCCTCTCAAACAAAGCATAATGTTGCCACAGTTGTGAATCAGATTAGAAGAGTATATTATTCTTTTGCCTGTGCCACTTTGCATCTGACGAGCTGAAAAGGCTTCATCAAAGGAACAGAACTATGGAACATCATTGCCATCCTTAATGCAACCCATGTCTACTGAAAGACAGTACAACAGTACAGTTTTTTAAAAAAACTTCAAATGGTTTCATGTACTCAACAGAGCAGTTTTTTTAAAAGGTCTTGGATCTATTCTCTGTAGTGCTTGATTCTGGGAATTGGTCAGAATTGTAGGGTTCTGGTTTGGCTGGTACCTCTCATCTGCGTGTCGATTTTTTCCCTCCTCACATGAGCCAAAATGGGATTGACTTAGCCTGTTCTTGGGCCTGCGAACCAAGCGTTTGCCCTGTGCCTGCAGGCAAACACTCTTTGGGCACATGGCAATCTAGCTGGAGGTAGTTCAGCTGTTGCAGATGCTGTGAATTGGTAGTCTGCACAGTTTCACTTCCATCTTACACCAGAGGTAGTGGTAAAGGATGGGGGAGATGGATGTGTCAGCCCTC